CCCCCCCCCCCCCCTCCTTCGTTCCTCTGGTGCTCATTCATCTTTTGTTTTAATTAGTTCACGCTAGCCGCTTCATTTCCTTACAACAACATCCTAGCAAGAAAAAGCGGATGTTTTGAGTACGTCGTCACACCGGATTGAGCAGAGGCTGGCTGGCTTGTGATTTGCATCGCTTCTTAAGCACCTGGCAGCAGCATCTGACGAGTCTGCGATGATTTGAGGACTTCCTAAGAGGATTTCTATGAGATTTCAGTCGTTTTACCGCTTGTCATAGCGTTCCTTCTTGTTTGTTTTTGTTTGCTTTAAGTTTACCTACATAGCGCTAATTTTAGCCTAAATGCAGCAAATCTTGACCCTTTAAGCGCCGAAATCTTGCTGACATCTATTTAATGACTGAAAATAAGAAATTTTAATTTGCAGCTAAAAATCCCGTTCTAAAAGAAAAAGATGACAGTAACTTAGCCCAAATATGAGAGCAGGTGCGAAATCTCATGTCTTGCAGTAAATCCAATTTCCAATGTTGGATTCTGCATTGCTAAATAACAATGTTCCTCTTTTCGACTTTTTGCTGCTCAAGAAACCGAAAAGGTCATCATGACGTGGTCATGACGTGATGTATCTCCTTTCTTGCACTTGCCTAGCTACTAGGACAATAGAGATGCACTGATCTTACATGTGAAATAAATTCTTAATGAACCATACCCCCTCCTGGTAATATTTACTGAGCTCTTATATTTCTTGTTACGTATATAAGTGGTTCTCAGCCTATACATAACAAATTTTGGTGACAATGATAGCTTGCTTCAGCTTGCTGCCAATCTTATTTGAAACTTATCCGAATGACGTCAATCGTCGTGCTGACAGTTTTAGATAGATCTTAAACGAGAAGTGAATTCTGTGCTTAGTGCAAATCTTCTCATTTCTGAAGTTTTACTCATACCTCGCGTTTTCATAAGTTTAGTATTAGGTTGGCGCAAAATTCTTACACCAAATTTCCCACTTTTTCTCTTTTTTTCTTCCACTTTTCTTTTATTTTCCCATTTTATAACTTTATGGTGCATTGATATCAGTGAGCAAAATACCCACCATTATGATCCACGACGTACGCCCACTCCTCCATTAGGCTTTCAATTCCAGAACTTCAGAATTTGAGGGCTGCAATCCAAAAAGTGCGAAAATTTACCTCAGTTCAATCTAATCACCGAATTTCTTCTCTCGTAGGCAATTTCAGCCCTCGACACAAGTGGTAGTCACATAGGGCCATTTCTGAAGAAAAGTAGGGTAGGGTAGGACTTCCCAATCTTGTTGGTTAACTTTCTTGCGAGATTTTGTCACGCAAGCAAAGCCAGTTTAGCTATGTTTTAGGTGACTGCTTCTCTCGATTATTGCTGTTGTGAAGAGTAGAGCAGCTTTGAATACTCTATCATTTACAATTTTTAAAAATTCTGGACCAAAAAAAGATTTTGCTGCAGGACCTTTGGAACCAATCTAGTAGTAGAGATGAAATGCCAGAAATGTAATTACACAGTACGTATCAAATCGTAAGAATTCTGTCATGTGCACTTTAGGACCCACCGATATTTCTGAAATTATTATGACAAATAATTAATTAATTTGAAATTCATTGCGTAAATATTTCGAATTTAAAATACGGTACTTATGTTTAATATCAAATCTTTTAATTCACTTGAATTATCACTAAAGCAAAATATCATTTTTTAAAAAAAATCATGCTGGGACCATCTTTGGCTTTCACATGTTCTTAGCATGCTAAGCTGC